TATTAAGTGTGCCTAAATGAATTTTGCAGTAACTGGTATTCTTGATTTTTGTCCTACTTAATACACATTAATTCAGAACTTGTATTCTCTTATGAGGTTGACAGTCTTTTGGAGTGACCAGCAACTTTGATGTTTGCACTAAGATTTTATTTGGAATGCAAGAGAGGTTGAAAGAGGTTCAGTAGTGCACATGAAACTAATTTATTTGAACTATATGCTGAAGACATCTACCAGTTTCTTCAAATGCCTTTTTGAACTCATCACAGATGATTGGTGAAAATGCTGAATATCATCATACTATTCTTCTTGCACATCAGCTACACAAACAGTTTTGTACAATGAAAATACTAATGTGTTTGACATTCCATGTTAAACTACTGTCATGTTCAGCTTCATTGCATTTAATGTAGACCTGGTCCATCAGATCTTGTGTTCTGGAGAGTGTTCTTTATTCAATAAAGTTTTAATTTAGTATAAAGATACCCTGAATATCCTGTGTGATTTTTTTTTTTAATGCTGGTTTTATCTATTCATTACTATCAAAGATTTCTCTTGGTTATAAGAATTTGGGCAAAGGGGCTAGGGATGTGGCCTAAGGTAGAATACTTGCCTTGCTTTTACCAGGCCCTGAGTTGAATCCCCAGTACAACCCTAAAAGGACTTGGGCAAATAAAATTCACATTGACATTCTCCAGGATCTTTAAAAGAACAATATTCCTCCATTAGCTATGATCAGTACAATATTAATTATAAACATTTTTGACTATTTGGCTGAGAAGATAAATATATAAGAATTGAAGTTGCAATGCAACTTTTTTGTTGCGGGGTAAGGGCAATTCTGGGGATGGAACCCAGGGCCTCACACATTCTAAGCATGGTCTCTACCACTGAGTTACACTACTAGGTGGACACGACTTTAATGGATGTGTAATAATGTTTAAAATAGGGTAATGTTGACTAATTTAGTAGATAATATACAGTTAAAGTACAAAAACTTAAGGATGCTGACATTTTAAAGTTATCAAACAGAGGTTCAGTCTGAGTGTAGTTAATAGCCAGCTGCAAAATAATGAAATAGATCATGGAAATTTTATTATAAGATTTTGTGAAAATATAGAAAATAAGATTTAAAAAACATTGAAGGAAAAATCATCCACCAACAGAGTAATTCTGGGCAATTGTTGATGTAGTTTTACTGAGTTGTTAACATTCATTACCTGCCATAAAATAAATTTGTGATTTAACAATTGAATGGAGCACATACATTTTAAGAATTTTGTGTTTTCTTTCTTTGCAGTATGGGGGATGGAACCCAGGGACACTCTACTACCACAGTACACTCTGCTACCAATCCCTTTTTATTTTTCATTTAGAAATAGGGTCTTACCAAGTTGCTGAGGCTGGCCTTAAACTTCTGATCCTTCTGCCTCAGCTTCCCAAGTCACTGGGGTTACAGGCATGAGCCACCTCACCTGGCTAAATTTCATAATTTCAAAATAACCCAGCTCAATTCAGTTGTTTAGTAATATGTTTAGATGAGGAAAGTTTATGTGACTTAATTCTTCAGAGAATTAACTAACTCATGACCAGTATCCCAGTCTATTATTTGATAAAGGTAACATGAACATTCTTTTTTTACTCTCATTTGACCAATGAGTGCTCTGTGTGTGTGTGTGTGTTTGCATTTACCATGGGGAATGGTAGATTGAATGTATGTGTGTTTCCTGTACTCAAGCTGCAGAAGGTGTGGTTGGACAATGATAGGCTGCTGAGCTTTACAGTGGTAGGATGGAGGTATAAAATGCATCCGTGATGAGGAGGGAGCAAGTTCATCTTTCAGAAATAGGTCATCCTCAAGATATCCCAACTGTAGGCTTTTCACTATTTAAAAAAGTACATATATACGTATATGTGTGCATATTAAGGGTACACATGTATGTATATGTAAATATGTGTATTAAAATACCTATTAAAAACGTATACACATGCCTGCAATCCCAGCAGCTCAGGAGGCTGAGGGAGGAGGATTGCAATTTCAAAGCCAGCCTCAGCAAGGCCCTGTCTCAAAAATAAAAAGGGTTGGATGTGTTTCACTGGTTAACCCAATTCCTGGTACTATAAACCAAACAAACAAAAATGTGTGTGTGTGTGTGTGTGTGTAAATACAGTTTAATAGAACTTAAAATGTCCTGGCTTAATCCCCAGCACTGCACACACACACAACACACACACACAATATATACATAATATTAAATGTATATATGTATTACTTAATATATAATATATATAAATTATGTGTGTAATAGTACATAAACATATGTGTTTAACATGTTCAGAATTTTTATACATGTTCAACCACAGTTCCTGCAAGAAGCACACAATGTGAATCTTTCCAAAAGCTATAAAAATTATGTTCAATTCTTCATTTTGTTTATCTTAATTGGCTGGCTGCTATTACCAACTAAATATTAAATTGAACTGTCATAAAATTATGGGAAAGTTAAATAGTTGAAGTCTAAAAGTATTTATTAAACACTTTTTGCATAAATTTCTTGTCTTAAAAGTTGGATATTTTGAATCTTCTGGAAACTGGAATAGTAGGACTTCCTGTGGTGATGAGTGTTTTATGCTATTCAATATAGAAGCCACTAACCACAGGTGGCTATGAAATCTGAAGAAATAAATTGCTTTTTCTTTCACTTTAATTTAAATGCCCACATTTGGCTAGTGGGTACTGAATTGGACAGCATAGTTTTAGAGTCTAGTGGAATATTTTACTAACATGGGGTGGAAATGGAAGAGAGGATGTTTATGTTGGAAAAAAGAAAAAGGAAACCTGGAAATTTCAAGATTCTTTTCAATCTTACAATTTTTTTATTTAATTTTTTAATGTCTGGTATTGGGGACTGAACCAAGGGTGCTGTACCACTGAGCCACATGCATAGCCATATATATATGTGTGTGTGTGTGTGTGTGTGTATTTTTTTTTTTTTTAAGTCAGGGTCTTGCTAAATCTCTGAGGCTCAAGGCTAACCTGGAATTTTCTATCCTCCTGTCTTTGCCTCCCAAGGAGCTGGGATTACTGGCATGTATCACCAGATTAGACATATAATCTAATCTAACAGTGTTTCTTAGGAAATTCTTTTCTTTTTTTTTTGAACTGGGGGTCAAACTCAGGGCTTTGCAAACATGATGCTTTGCCACTGAGCAGCATAGCATCCCAGTCCAGGAAATTCTTATTTTAAACAAAACTTATCCCTTTATGTGAAATTTCCTTGTTTTTCACTAGACAATCAACTATGGTATATTACTATTTTTTACTCAGAATTTTACACAAAGTTTTCTGCCTATTTTCAAAAAATGGCAGAATTGTTGAATTAATGTCTTTAGATTCTAGAAAGAAGTCCAGTGCCTTTTTTGTTGTGTTTTTTACTGCATTCTCAACCTAGCCTCTGGAAGTTTTGATCAAGCTTCTGGGGCCAAGGGATGTTCCTTTACCTTATTTTGTGAAACTTGCTGAATATTCTCACCTGACCAGGTTGCGAGTTCCTGGCCCATACACTGCTTCTTCCCCAAATTCCAAACTTCAAATTCCAACATGTCAAAACATCTATGCTTTGTACTTAGAGGGAGGGCAAAATAATGAAGTTTGGGGGCTTATTAAAGTCTTAGAGTTCTTTCTATAAACAACACAACAACCGTGTAGAAGCATGTTTATAATTTTTCAGGCTCCACAATTCTTTCACCTTTTCTTGGTTGGGCAAATATAGCTGAGCCCTTGACATGTCAGAATTTGCAGCTGGCAATTTCCAGACTCAAGAGGAGACAT